TAGTTAATTAGATTTACTCCAGCACTGGCATTAGGTAACGAAAATAAATTCTTTGCTGTTTAAGTACTTCTCATTCAAACATAAGGACAAAGAAGAATTAATTAAAAACTATTTTAGTATTGGTAACCTACTTTTATTTATGCGTGGCATAATCTGGACATCATTATGTAAATTTTTATTTATTTTATTGAATTATTCACAATATGCGAGTTGTTTTTGATGAAATTGAATATGTGTATAGCTCATACACAGATAATAAAATGATTAAAAAATAAAGGTCATAGTACCTGTTCATGGCTCTCAATCACCGATTGAGTGTTCAAATTAGTAGTTGGTCGAATCGCTCCTGGCGGCAATGCATGCTTAAATTCTTCGAGGCAAGGAGTGGTAGAGGTTACTAATGTCATCCTGCAATACATTCTGCCAGGCATTCATCAGTTGTCACTCCAGATATGCGATACTTTGTGGTGCCCGAATCTGGTAGCCTACCATGTTCCAAACATGCTTAATTCATGAAAGGTCTAGTGAGCTTGCTGGCCAAGGAAGAGTATCAGTCGCACAGAGACAGTCCAGAGATATGCGAGCAGTATGTGGTCTGGCATTATCTTGTTGGAAAATGGCCCTGGGATGACGTGTAATGCAACCGGCCACAGGATGGTATCAACATATCGTTGAGCTGTTAAAGATGTACAGAGAATGACTGAAGATGACCTGTTGTCATAAGAAATAGTGTCCCACACCATCACACCAGGGGTTATGGCTGTATGCCTTTGTAAAATAAAGGCCGCTTGCCCCGTGCTCTCCAGATACGAACACGATGGTCATCTGCTTCAAGAGTGAAGCGGGATTAATCACTGAACACTATATGATGCCAGTCTGATGGCAGCCATGATGATCGGCTGTGACACCACTCCAGACAACTTCACTGATGTTGTGGGGTCAAAGGCAAATGTCTTAAGGGCCTCTGTGAGCGTAATCCCGCCCCAGACAAGTGCCGTGAGATGGTGGACGGTACCGTGGGAGGTATAGACGTGCCTCTAGTGCATTGAATAGCAGACAATTTGGCACAGTTCAAGCCTGCTGAACAGTCATTCTATCTTGCCTTGATTTGTGCTCCTTGGCCACATTTTCGCATTTTTGCTCCTGGGCATTCTAGAGCCTTCATCTCATTGCCAATTTTCTTTTATCAACCATTGCTGCCAACATCTTTGCACAGCAATGTCTGTACGTTGCAGGTGGTGGCCTATCGCTCGGTAAGACCACCCAGCTTCACGCAGTCCTACAATGCGACCACGTTCAAAGACATCTAGTTGTCTGTAAGGTCTTCGACACGTTGTAATGGCATCTTTAGTTGCTTCTTTACAGAATTACAATGGCAGCAACAAAATGAGATAAATTTTCCGCCTCTGTTACTGGTTTTATACTTTGCAAAATGCGCGCTACGATCACAGTTCCTGTTCATTTGCCTTGAAATTTGATCATTTGCATGTTTGATCAAGATGTTTTTGCATATCAAATTTCATCACGATCGCAAAAGTCCTTCCTGGTGCTTCGATTTTTGCGCAAAAGATTGCCTTTCGCTGTCTACAACCTCGCCATTACATAACTCTTGAACAATATCGCAGAAAGGTATCTTGTTTTAGTTTTATCATTTCGTTCTTTGTAAATACGTGCTGATTTTTCAAAATCAGTATGGTTGTTGGAAAAAACTGACGAACCTTTCTCAACCTAGTTATGACTATTACAATGGCAGCAGCAAAAAAAAGATAAATTTTCCACGTCTGTTACTGATTTCATACTTTGCGAATTGCATACTAGAAATGTGCACTATGATCGCGATTCCTGTTCATTTGCATGTTCGATCAAGATGTTTTTGCATACCGAATTTCGTTACGATCACAAAAGCCCTTCTTGGTGCTTCGATTTTTTTTTTTTTTTTTTTTTTTTTTTTTTTTTTTTTTTTGCAAAAGAGTGCATTTCAACTTTCAGTAAAGATGTAATCTGTGTTATGAGAATTACAGTTTTTCACTTGATTTTGCAGTTTGTTTAGAAGCAGGTCATATGACATTTCTTTTTAATTGGATGAATAAAAAATGTCCTAGTTTTGCCAATCATAATTTTGTGTTTCACTGCTTTTATAATATAGGGCCATTTGCTATAAATTTTCAAATATCATTAAAGAAAATAGTTATGAAGAACTTGGTAGAAAATAGCAAATTTCAACACTGAAAAAACACTTGAAAAAAAAAAAAAGCTTAAAATTCATGGTTCTTTGGAATAATTTTTAAAAATAAAATGCTGAAGAAATATGTTCCCACAATTTGATAACATTAGGTGGTAAGGAATGGCCATAAATAAGAATTAAGTAAGCGAATGAGCTCGCTTGATGACTGGACTCATTTTCATAAAAGACAAAGCATTCATCAGCTGCAGGTTTACTTGATTTGAGCAGTTAATTAACTAAGCTAAATATACTAAAATTTTAATCTTACCAGATTTTGCTAAATTTTGGCTTTTATATTTATCTTGCATGTTTAGTGATTTTACGTCGAGTTCATTTATACATTTAAAGAATATCATAAAGTGTATTAAACAACCTGAAATGAAAACAAGGAATTATTACTTTTTTTTTTTTTTTTTTTTTTTTTTTTTTTTTTTTTTTTTTTTTTTTTTTTTTTGCTAGTTCTATATGCTTTTGGTACCAGGAAGAAAAAAGTATTAAATCTGCATTTGTTTTAGTACTAAATGTGGTAAAAGTATAGTTTAGGGTACCCCTTGGCGATTTTTGGCGGTACATGGATACCGATTTTGTGCAATTCTTTGACTCGTTAGTTTGGCTTGCGAAGCGGCGGCCACTACACAAAGCCAAAATAACAAGACAAACAGTTGCACAAACTCGGTATCCATGTACACATCGACTTATTTTCACTTACCCCCCCCCCCCCCCCCCCCCGAATTGCACAAAAAATTGGCACTCCCCTGACTTTATCCATGTACATGTTGACCTATTTTCACTTAAAAAAAATCCCAGAATTGCACAAACTTGCATTACGCACTCCCTTTACTTTGTCCATGTACACATCAATATATTTTCATTTAAAAAGTCAAAGGAGTACCAAATTCTACAATATAGGCAAACAAAAAATACATAATCTCAATAAAATACATTTTAAACCAAACAATAAAAATAACATAAAAAAGGAAAAACATGTTATACATTTAAGCACTACCAAAAGCAAATATTCACTTACCATGGTTTTCGATTTCGCTTCGTACACCCAGAGCCACGTAAAAATCAAAATATCAATCATATGCAAATGACTTTTTTCAAACCAGGTACTCTTTCTGATCGAATGCTTCACATAGTGACCATCTGAACCTTTCTTCCTACAAACCCATTTAAATCCATCTAAACGGTTTTAACACACACCACAAAAACGCTTACAAAACATCCAGTGATTCAAAATTTCCCAGAATCATGCACCCGATTACATCACAATAGGGTTTCCATCACATAACGTCACATAACATTCAACTACTCAGTCTACCATAAATAAAACAACAACTTGCAATAAATCAAACAACAACTTCGCCATAATACAAGGGGTACCTTAAAGTCTACTCTACCCCTAAATGTTTTTAGCTGAGTGGTCAGTTGGCTCCAGAATCAAATCACCTGTAGAAACAATTGAACATTCAACCCTGCCTACGAATCTGAAACTTTACAGATGAGTAGCATTTAATCCATGTAAATGTAAGTATATGTTGTTGGCGGTAAAATCCTAGGAGAGCCCAAACGCTTGGCGACAAACTGGGAAAGTGCAGAATTACCCACTGCTTCGCTCATTTCTCAAAATCGCCAACTTGAAAAAACAAGTAAAAAAATTGCATAAACTCGGTATCCATGTACACATCGACCTATTTTCACTTAAAAAAAAATCCCAGAATTGCACAAACTTGCCATTGCACATTCTCTTGACTTTTTCCATGTACACATTGATTGATGCGCACCATATAAGTGGGCGCGCCAAGGGTGTGGGCTGTGCTAGGATCCAACCGTTTTTGGCAGTCAGAATTTATGCTATGTTGTTAAGGAATTGAAGTCTGGAATCAAAAATCTTGACCTTGTAATTTGACAATATAATATCTGGTAGTATGAAGCCTTGCAGATGATTTATGATCCATGTAAATATTGAATTATTTGTTGTAAAAATAATTTCTCTGAATATTGAATCATGACATACTTTTCTAAAATGATAATCATTTCTGTAATTTTTAAGTATAGTTTTCTTTTAGTATGTATTTCTGATTTTTAATGTCCTTAATGCAGTTATTCTCATTTAGAGTTTTTGAAGAGAATATGTAGTTCATGTATTTTTTTATAGTGTATCTTAAAATCAATGTATGAAAATGAAAAGCTTCTTCTGAGAGGAGCTTGATTAATAAGAGATTATATGCTCTTAGTAATAAGACCTCTGATTGATTAGAGCTTATTAGAGCTCTCAGTAATAAGAGCTTGCTAATCTTCTATTAGCAAACTTTCTGAAGTAAATAGTAAAATATTCTGTGTAGTCATATACTTCCACTCCTCTTTTGTTGTTATTGTGACTTATCTCACTTGTCTGACAGTTAACATCATAACAAGCCCACAAAATTCATCATGGCAAAGAGTACAGTATTGTGCCTGTCATTGGCCTTTGCCAATGACAAACGCAATAGTTTAATAAAGTGAATAAATTTAAGGACCTTACATTGTGAGAACTTTTTTTACTTGCATCTGTACTAGCTATAATAGGCTTTTACACTTATTTTTACTCTCCATGATAGTATAGTCGATGATAGTTTTAAAAATTAGTATATATTACATACAAATGTATGCATAACAAAAGATTAATTTTTTAAAAATTAGAACTAAAAAGCTATATGTAGCTATTAAGTTATTTATATAATTTGCTTTGTTATCAGTGTTAAATTTTGTTTATCTGTCTATATATTTTCAGCTAAAGCTACCAACCCATTGCACCGAGAACCAGATCCCGAGGCTACTGCTGCATTTTGTTCACTGATTGACACATTACGAGATGGTCCTCAAACGGCCCTACGACTTCTTGCTCACAAGATTCAGTCACCTATAGAAAAGGAGTCTTTAATGGCTTTATCAGTGGGTTTCACTTAAGATAACTCTTTGTAATTTTTTTTTTTTTTTAAATATATTTACATTGATAGATGTTATGTGATGACTTTGTTATAGAGATAAAATCAAATATTAAGTTTTTCTTAATTGATCTTTTTTAATAAGCTTTTGGTGTTAAGGTTTTAATATTTTATTTTAAATAGTGTATTTCTATCGTATTAGATTGCGTGCACTCTCCTCCCATGATCTTTTAAGAGATAAAATAATTCAATCATTGTGTCGAAAACTTAACAGTAGAGTTAATATATTGTTAATTAATATGACAGAAATGAATGGCATGAAATTATATTATAGCTTTTAATTTAAACTATCTATTTCTCTGATTATTTTGAATCTGCTAGGGCTACATAAATGATTAGGAGAGTTATTGTCAATACAAGAAGGAAATTTGCTAACTTTTGAATATACGCAATATTCCTGGCCTAAAACTGTAACAGTTTATGAGACTAACTGCCCATGAACTGGATACCCAAGCATCTCATGTTTGTCATTGTTTGGACTTCCACTTACCCTCCTAAAATAGGCTTCAGTACCTCAGCCAGACTACTAGTATAAAAATACACTGTTAATAGTAACTGATCTCTATAGGATGCAACTAGTTAAGACTTTGTTACTTAAATGTACTCTCAGATAGTTGAGATTTGCATAAACTTCTGAACTGCAGAAATTTTTTGATTGAAGCATTTCCCCTTTCCAAAAAGACATTATAAAATCTTAAACTTTTAGCAATGTAACATCTCTGCATGATGTACTTCCTCGGGGGTGAGTTTCAGGTAATAAAATCATGGAGAAAGATTGATAAAAAAATAAGTAAATGTTATATACAGTGCCTCTCTGGGACAAATTTCTGGTAAGCAAGTGCTTAAGTATTTTGTATCTGGTTTAAGGAATAAACTCTGTAGATGCTTTTATGATCACTCCCAACCTTTTATATTGTTCAACTTAAAAACTGTTATATTAAAAGTGAAAATTAATATTAACTCACAACTTTGAAAAAAAATTTTTGCTGGTTAATAACTTACTGCTGAAAAAACATGCTTTTTTTCACACCTTCATTTATTCTCTTATTAAAACAATGAACAGAGTGTGATCAACTTCAAAAATTATTTTTAATGTTTGTGGTATTTATAAATTTCACATTTTTTTTATCATATTATTGTTTTTCCCCATGTCAGGTTCTTGAAGAAAGTGTAAAAAAATGTGGCTGTAAATATCGATCTGAAGTGGGAAAATTTAGATTTCTAAATGAAATGATAAAAGTTGTATCACCTAAAGTAAGTCACTATTGACATATACTCCATATGATAATAATATTCCTTAAAAATTTGATTTTTTAATCATGAATGGTATTTTTTATTATAATATTCACCATATAAAGGAAATTAAAAAAAGTATGTGAAAGATTTCTATATAATTTGAAAGTTTTTGAATTTGTAAAAAAGTCTATATTCAGTTTGAAAACCATATTAGCAATAAATTAACTAATTGTAATGTAACTGAACAGATTACTTTTAAGTATGATAGAGTTATTAGATTATAAATTATTATGTTAAATATAGAAGTGTTTATAAGAAAGTATTCATATCATAAATATTTTGATTTTAATATTTTTAATGAAAAGCAATAAGTACTTCCTTATTAAAGCAACCTTCACGATTAATCAACACAATAGGCAAACTCAAATACAAAATTTGTAACTTTTAAATATCACATAAGCTTAAAATGTGTTTGCTTAAATAAGGAAATGCTAAAATGTTTATAAATACTGTATATCATGTGTAACAACATTTAGATGATGTAATTTATATTTCGCAACAGTATGAAAATTGTAGGAGACAAACAATGAATGTAATGTATTAACATTCATTGTTTGTCTGTTACAAAGTACTATTCTGTTCAGCTTGAATTTTTGCAAAAGTTTAATGTTGAAATCTCTTACAATATGTACTTGATTCCAATTTAATTTTAATTTTAGATGCTTTAAGTTTATATACACACACACTCACATGCATATATGTATTCACATGTAGGATGTGTTATGCATAGGCACTTAACTCAGTGTCCTTCTGAGTGTTATATCATAATTAAAATGGTCTAATTTAGACACATCTGTTGCACTTGTTCATTCCTTGCTGCCTAATGTTTCGTACTTTCTTTGTTTTGTAATATCCAGTAATGTCAAGGTTACATTTGAAAATAATTGATATTTCATATCCTCATGGAAGATATTTTTAGTACCTTCGTCATCTTTTTATTTGATATAACCAAATTTTTTTCAAGGTTTCTGTTTAATGACTGTTATAAATATTTTGTAATTTAAGATAATTAATGATGTAGGATTGATTTAGTATTTAGGTAGTCGAGCCTCTTCCAAAGTAAAGCAGAAGATAGTGGAACTGATGTTCCTTTGGAGCATGGATTTAAAATCTGAAACTAAAATATTTGAAGCATATCAGATGCTGAAACGACAAGGTGTTGTTATTGAAGATCCTGTATATATATTAGATGTAAGATTTTTTAAGGCATTTTGAAATGTATTCTTTTATATCATAAAAAATAAAATAAATGCAATAAATTTTGAAAAAGTGTTATATTAAAAGTGAAAATTAATATTAACTCACAACTTCGAAAAAAAATTTTTGCTGGTTAATAACTTACTGCTGAAAAAGCATGCTTTTTTTCACACCTTCATTTATTCTCAAAATAAAAAAAAAAAAAAAAAACACATAAAAAAGCAGCTTTTTTAGATTTGATTTATGTTGAAATTTTATATCCATGGAGAAAAAATTTAAAATATACATCATTAAAATATTAAAAGTGCATTTCTTGCTGAATTTAAAATAAAATTTGAAAATATCCGAGTGAATGAAACTTAAAATTTTAACTGATGTTATTGTCTGAAAGATTTTTTATTTGCAATGTCATTTTAATAATTAAGAAGATACAAAGGAGTATTCATAAACTGAATTTCATTAGAAGGTTTCAGGGAGAAAATTCCATGTATTTTATTTTCTAACTTTTCATTTCACTTATATGCGGATTTATTGTATAGTTAGTGAATACTGCAACAAAAAATGAGAAGGAACTGGAAATTGTATAATTTTTGCTAATAGCTTAATCGCTTTCTATAGTTACTTACTTAGTTGTTTTTGTCAGTAATATTAGTGTTATGTGTTTAGTAGTTTACATTTGATCTGAGAACAAGCGTTTAAATTTCCTAAAGTAGATAGTTGCTAAATTTGGGAAAACAATTTTATTCCTTAAGTGCTTATTTTCTAATTTTACTGGTATTTTATATATAGCAATATACAATACATATATATATACAAAATGATATATACAAAACAATTTTTTTAAATTACAAAATTTTTTTATGGAAGAGAAATTTTAATTGATTTCAATGTTTCTCCTCCTGACGAAGTGGCATTGAAGTTGATTGTATTCCTCTTCTTTTATATTCTTTAAAGTTCATTAATTCTTTGAATTTGGGTTTTATTTGTTTGAAGTATTTTAGTTTTAACATTTATTAAATTATTTTATACATTAATAGGATTTTTTGAAATTTTATTACTCATGAATTTCAAATTTTGGTCTTTGTGTAAAATTGTCTAAATTTCTTGCTTTATAAATATATGTGTATATATATATATTAATTTAGCAGTCAAACAACAAAAATCAATATTATATTTTCACAGGACTAGTTTCCATGGTTTTACCAAACCATCAATCAACCTTAGCTGCAAAAGCGAAAATAAACAAGATAAGATAAAGTGATTAGATAAGATAAGAAAGATTGGCTAAGAGTCTTATTTGTATCTCAGTTTATCTAATCACTATATCTTATCTTGTTCATTTGCACTTTTGTAGCTGAGGATGGTTCAGTAAAACCATTGAAACTAGTCTTCTGAGAATTTGAAAATATAACACTGATTTTTGTTGTTTGACTTATAAATTAATACTTGTTTGGCATATTATTGTATCTTAATATATGTATATATATATTGTTTTAGATATAATTTTCCAGATAAGATAAACTCTAAATTTATGACACAGTTTTTAGATAAGAAAAAGTTGCATAAAAGTTTTTTCAAAAATTTTGTAAACTTTCAGATCAAGGTGCATCCTGATTTTAAGTCATCCCCCCCCACACACAATTAAAGTGGTTTAAAAAAATATGAGATAAAGAACTATCCTAGGTATGGTGATATATGTTCTGTTTATAATTAAAACAATAACTAATAAAAATAGTTTTAAAATATATCATAAAGAAGAGAATAAGGATAATATCAAAACAGGTTTTTATAAAGTGACAAATAATTTTTCAAAACATAAATCACTTTTCTGTTTTGAATTAAACCAATATGCAATAAAGATAGTTTTAAAATGTCTCATAAAGAAGAGATTTAGGAAAATATCAAAACAGATTTATAAAATGACGAATAATTTTTCAAAACACAAATCACTTTTATGTGTCTATTTTATGTTTTAAGCTTCAGCAATTCCGAATATGTTTATAGGCATAAATGTACAAAAGTCTGTTGTTATTTTATATAGCGCCAAAACCCTATATAAATGAAATTTTGAAATTGCCATGTTTAACTCCAGGAAATTGTATCGTATAATAATACTTATTTAATAATAAGTTTTTTGTAAAATAGTAGACTTAACAAAACTTTTCTTAAAACTATTTGAAAGTTTAGATTGAAAAAGTATTTTTTCTAATTTTCAGAATTTTTATAAATTTTACAGTCATTGCTATAAAAGGTATTACTGATAAGTATATAATAAGTTTCTTGAAACCAAACTTATTCATGCATGCGTGTTTTTGAAATAGTCCTATAAAAAATTCACTATCATAGAAACATTACAGTAAAAATCAGCAATAGTATATTGCAATTTTAACAATCTTTGATGATGCATTTTAATTTAAATGTAAAAATTAATTTTAAAAAATGTATTTTTAATCCCTTGCATGTCATCATTGTATTTTAATACATTTTCTCCTATCTTATTTATGCAAAGTAGTATTGTCTATATTTTGTACAAGTGTTAGTTCGTCAGAATTTTGCAAAAAATTAAAATAAGCTGGAGGAATTTGTCAAGTCTTGTAATTAACATCAAACCTTTATTTTTTGGTAAAATTAACTTTTTTGGCTCATGTGATTTTTTTCTTTTTTTCCCACATGGAATTAGAATTATGAGCCTCCACCTCCTCCTCCTCCACGGCCAAAGAATTCCATTTTTGAAGATGATGAAAAAGCACAGGTGAATTTTTTTATTCCAAAAAAATTTGTTAAATTATTTCTTACTTCCCTTTTTCTCTTTGCTTTTAGATGGATTATATAATTTTTATATTTTTAATCTTTATAGCAACTGCAAAAGTTATTGCGTAGCAGAAATCCTGAAGATTTACAAGCTGCTAATAGGCTAATAAAAAACATGGTTCGAGAGGTAATGTTACTTGTGTATGGAAGTATTATATGTGCACATTTTGTCTGATATTTAATCATGTTGTTTATTTTGTGATTTGTTAGAATGAGGCAGGCTAATTACATTAGTAGAAGATATGAGGTAGATCATAGAGCAGTTGATTTTATTTAATGTGCCACTCTTAATCGTAACAGTAAGTTTTTTTTTTTATTCACAAGAGAGCACATGACCTTAGATTCACTATTTTACCTAATTCTGCATAAGCATAAAGAACATTTAAAGGTGAATATATATATGAAGTGTCAACATATACTCCTCAAATAAGGGGAAGGAGATTGAAGCTAGAAATCATTTATCAATAAATAGCAAGGTTCTTACTAATAAGTCACAAAATAAATGATATGATAAAATAGCTGATTCCACCAATTTTAACAATATGTGGAAAGTGACAAAAACTTATTCACAATAAATAAAAATAACATGAGCTGTGTTTGTCTCCAACAATGAATTTTAGGTTGATCAAGTCATGAAACTGGAGAATTCTCCCTTCAATAACTAGTTCATGATAAACCATTCATATCATTTAATTGATCTAGATCAGGGTTTCTTAGACTTTTTTCATTTGCGACCCCTTTTATCACTGAGATTTTTTCATGACCCCTAGAACCCCATGATATTTACAAAAATTTTGTGGGACCCCATAAGCATTGCGCAAATCTGACACACGCATGAGTGAAGCTGCCAATTTTTTCACTTTTACTGTAATATAACTTCAATAGTATTTTACTGTAATACTATTGCAGTTTTAGGTCATTAACTTTAATTTCTAATTTTAAAACATAGAATAATATGAAAATTTTTAAATAAGTAACAGACGAAATGACAGCGTCACTTGCAAAACAATGAACGTTTATATTATAAAAAGAATGCGTCGAAACGTTTTCCTTTCTTTTCTTTTTCCTTTGTCTGTATTATCTTATCTTTATCTATTTTCAGATACATTGTGTAAAAATATTATAAGTTAAAAAAAAAATCAAAACTGCTAAAATTTTTGGTGACCCCCCTGCTGCAGGTCCCGCTACCCACAGTTTAAGAAACCCTGATCTAGATGATGGACTTAATACTTGGTTGAATGTTTGTGGTGCAAAATAGCACTATAAATGCCGAAAAGGCACTGTCCGTCAGCATTTAGACTTATTTGGTTGACCTCATGTGGGATTGCATGTATTTTAAAATGGAAATATCCTTTGTTGTATTAAATCCTACTTTTAGTTTTTTGCCTCCTGTTCAGTCACATGTAACTCTTTTTTTTTTTTTTTTTTTTTAGTATAATATTTATTTATTTATTTATTTTATTTTATTTTTTTCCCCCTCACTTTGAATATATCCCTTTTTTTCCTGTGTATGTAATTTCACGTTTCTTAAATGTAGAGAACAAAATAAGGAATAATATGACAATTTGGTACCAAAAAGTGATGTTATGGCTTTAACGAAACAGTAGTAAATTTTCATAGTTTACTTTCTTGTATGAGCTTCTCAGTGGACCTGTAGTAAATGTCCTACCCCAGGGGTGTTATAGATTTATAGTTATATAAATTAATAGTGACACTATAAATTTTACACCAGTTTGAGCTTGAGAATGTTATGCATTAAAAGTTAATGACAATACTGTTTTTACTTTTGTTATTAATTATTATTAGTTAACTTTAAAAGGAAAATTTATTTAAAAAAATTTTAAGAAGCAATGAAAAACATTTTACAGAAATATTTTTTTAAAATTTTAACTTATTATACTTTGCTGGAAGTTCATTAATTATTGATAGTCATAGATATTTGTCACATTAGCATGAAGAGCAAAGACTATTAATGTAATCTTAATTAATCATTATTGTAAAAAGAATTAACAAAATTATATATACAGACATCTGACAAAGTACAAGTGAGACGTGGCTGTAATATGGAAAATAAATGGGAATTTATCATAAAGGGAGCCAGATGATGGTAGCAATATGTCAAGAATGACAAAATTTTGTCACTGGTGTATTTTGAAGTTGCTGCAACATGAACTTACTTTAATGGCAAACATAAAGAAATTCTGTATTATTTGTGTTGGTTTTAAAAAAATAAATAAATAATATTGATGAAAAAGTAAACTGAAAATTGGTTTCAATGCAGTGCTATTAAGACATTTAATAAGGGAAAAAAATGAAGTAATATAAATGTTATTTAGAATTTTAACCTTGATTTTCTTGCTTTTTTTTCTTTTCTTTTAAAGAGAATGAAATAGATGCATGTTCTCACATCAGATAGATGTAGTCTTTCGAACGTCTATGCAAACTAAGCTTATAGAGTAATTTTAAGACAATGTTTGGCGATATGCATTGGCTGCCCTGTTGGCATGAGACCCATTGGAGCATCAGTAACAATCAGACCATTCATGCAAGCATACAACTAAAAGTAAATTTTTTTTTCTTTGGGGTATACCTTTTTTCCCTCTCTGCTTGATGGCTGAGATCGATAAATGGACAGTGCATTAACAATGCATAAGTAGGACAATGCATAAACTAAAGAAAACCTACCTACTGAAACTTCAGAAAAAATTTTAGGCAATTCAGAAAGGTTGTTTATAGAGATAATGATTTTAAGTCTTTGTCCACCATCAATTTCTTACTGAAAAATGAGCAGTGAATGTTGCCTTCTACATGGAGGTTCCAGATGTTTAACAGATTATCTGTGTGGTTATGGATGGCTCCTGCATCATGACAATGCACATACCCATTCAGAAATAGTGTTTTTATTCTAAAAATGCAAAACTCACCCTGGCATGTTATTTAATTGATACTTCAGACAAAACTGCATCTCACTGTGCATTTTGAATTTCCAGTGCTAATAAAATTTATATGGGGATTGCCATATATTAATACCATTTTCAAAAGAAAAGAAAACAAAAAGCTACCTTCTTATCAGATTTAAAAATATCTACAGTCAAAAGTTTTTAATCCGGACTCGTTGCGACTTCGGCGATTCCGGATTATCAGTTTTTCCGGATTATAGATCATCAATTTAAATCTTTTAAGATGGCATGCAGAAATTATAAAATTAAAAATATGAAACCGTAATTTATGAAATAAAGAGCAATTATGATCTAAAGGGTATCAAAATTTACAAAAAAAAAAAAAAGCTTAATAGTTATTTGTTTACTTTATTAAACATTTCTTTCAACACGCACATGTGTAAAGCATACATTACGCATAGTCGAAATTAGAAAATTGCAACCAGAAAACAGTTTGATGTGTATTCATGATATTTATAATGATGAGGAATTTGATTTAAATCATATAAAAGACGGAGTACATCGAGATGAAATACTACATTTAGTAAGGAATTATAAGCTGAATAAAATAAAAATATCTGCCCTGAAGATAAGGATAGTGCTGACAGATCAACTTCCAGTTCATTGCGCCGCATCATCCCCCCCGCAGAGCAGTGTGAAATTGATAAACATATTTCAGAATGGGTAGAGAATCAAAGGATATGCCTTTATCCATTTTTTTTGCAGCAATTCCAGTTTTTGTTTGATGGACATCGAAACATGCTTTCGCTTTGTAGATCCTTTGGTAGCTCCGGAATTGGAAATTCTTTTTGACATAATCGAAAGTTCAAGCTTACTTTTATAAAATTGCTCTAACAGTCTGCAAAAAATAATAAGCCGGATCCAATTTGAAGATTAAGGAACAACGCAATCTGCAACATCAACTGAAATAGATAATTAGATAATTTTAGCTTAGCTTATACCATCCGTTATACATTAAACGCGCATGCATAAATGCATTATGCTTTTACGCATGCGCAGGAAGTTTGTAGCTTTGAGGTCCGGATTATGGACATCTGAATTAACAACTTTTGACTGTATATCTTTCCTATTTGAGATGGCACCTAATCATTCTCATAGCATTCAAGTTTTAAAAATTGTATTGCTTGTTATGATAGCAGTAAATATTTTTAAACACCAGTATTCTTAAATTATTTTTTTTAATTTAAAAGTGTTTTCATAATAATTACAGTATTTTCAACATTTCTGTTTTCACAGACTTAGATAAGATAATGGAAGCCTGCTTTTCAGTTTAACAAAAATGCCCCTGATATTTGCTCATATTGTATTATTTAATGAGCAAGGTTAAGCTGAGACTACAAGGCAATTTTTTAAAAAATAATATTTGTTTTAAAATTTCCCGGAGAGAAGATTTAAAGAACTGTATGATATTGAATTGTAGAATATTTTATAACACTGTATACAAAAACTCGCAGGTTTTGGGAAAAGCAGTGAACATTAAATAAAATATTGAAATCACTTTAGAAACTATTGTCCAGCTGATATCTACAATGCTAATGAAGTAGCTCAATTCAGTTGTACTGCACTGGAGGTAAATCTCTATAATGCATTTATTTAATGTACATACATTGATACAAGAATATAAGAAACTCTTGAATTGCATATTGGGAAATGTGGAAATTCTGGAATTCTTGGAAATCGGGCAGTAGTCATGAGTGTAAATCTCTTAATCTGGTTGGATCTTGCCGATTCCAGATTTTTCCAAATAATTGAATATATGTTTCAAGAACTTTCTTTTTTTTGTTTTGTGATGCCATGTATAGGAATTGCGACATACATAGTTCACCATTTGTGTTTTTCAAGCTGTTGGTATTAAAGAAACAATATAAAAAATTGTACAAATTATTTAAAATTAAACACATACACATGAGTTTATAGTTCAGGAAGAAAAAACATTGAACAACATGTGGAAATAATATATATATTATCATATGAAAGTTATGAATTTCTAAGTGTGATTATATGCAACATGAAATGTTCATCTGCTTTAAAAATTGCCTCTGCAGTTTTAAGTATACAGTGAAACTTTTATAAGATCCTGTACTGACACAGATGAATATTGCTCAATTCTTATTAAAAGTCTACATTCCTTCATCAGCTTCCTTCCACATAACGTCCACTGTTTTGTGTGTCATCTTTGTTTGCCTTTTCTCCCTCCTTTCTATTGTCTTTCTTTTTTCTAGTACATACCTGATTATTCATCATCATCTTAAGAAAGTATAATGAGAGCAGAATTGTCTATATCAATCCAAACCTGTAATCCCCTTTTTACTAACACTAATCTTTTCCAAACATGTAACTAACTCCAAGATGTTGGACGCAGGCACCGCATGTGTTTTAAAATCAAGATAATCTTCATCACCTGACTCGTAGTCCATGAACATGATCATAGACCACAGTTTATACTAACAGCCATGTAATGTTTTTTACATTTATCCAAAGCAGGAGCATTGGAAAGTAAACCTAGCTTCTTTCAATGTGAATTGTTTCTGAAATTCATAGATACCATCTACAGAATTCACATATTGATGTATGAAAAGGGACTGGTAATTCATCTTTATAATTCTGGATAATTGATTCACTGGATAAGGTTTATTACATTGGACAGTGAAAACATAACACAGATATTTTTTGCATTTAAGTCTTCAGATTGTTAGCCAGTAATGTATGTTTTAATCTTATAAGCCTGAATTTTGCATTTAAATTTAGACCTTCCAAAGTGTCATTCTTTTGATATTGCCATTTAATTGGGTATCAGTTACGAAGAATTTTATTATATTCAATATTTAGACATTTAGAAAAACATCCAGCTGGCTTTTTTACCTTGCATATTCATAATTTTCAGTGCAGAACCTTTTCTTATTTATTATTATCTTACAGTTTCGAGTTTGGTGAAAAATTGTGCATAAAAAAAGTAGAGTGTAGTTTAAATTCTTATATGTATTGATACAACTGCAATTGTTATATTAAATACCAGTTTAAGTGAATTTCTCTGCTGACTTAAGGTTTCTAAATGCCTTATGTTTCATTTAGGCAGATAAAAAAATGGAACTGATGGCAAAAAGATCAACAGAATTGGAAACAGTACACAATAATGCTAGTGTGTTGGCTGATATGTTAGAGCATTATAAACCTGGAGAAGCATCTGAGGAAGAAAAAGATTTAATGAAGGTGAATTTAAATATTTTAATATTTGTTCATGCATTAAATTACTGTCATATATTATTTTTTCCATATGTATTCTCAGCAAGATTTTAACTTTTCGGCAATGATAAAAATTATTTTTTACTGTTATAATATGATGGTCCACTATAAAAAGAAAATCCGTAAACTAATTTTTGAAGACCTTGTAAATCTTTAAAAAAATTCTAGTATATTTATTTTCTAACATAGACTCAAAGAAATTAAAAAGTAATTCAAAAAGTATTTTATTTATCACATTCAAAATAATCATTTATAATTCATATAAGAATTAACAGCATTTTATCATATGAATAGTTTCATTTGTTAACCTTTCAGTACAGTCAAAAGTCGTTAATTGGGACACCCATAATCCGGAATGATCTATAATCCGGACCTCAAAGCTAAAAACTTTCTGTGCATGTGCCACGTTAGCACATGCGCACAGGCGTTTTACGCGAGCGCGTAAGAACTTGACTACTGTGCATATGCGTGTGAGCAAGCGCAGAATACGTTTTCGCCTGCGCGTTTAATGTATAACGGACGATGTAGGCTAAAATTATCTAATTATCTATTTCAGTTAATGTTAATGATTGCGTTGTTCCTTAATCTTCGAATAGGATCCCGCTTATTATTTTTTGCAGACTGTAAGAGCAATTTTATAAAAGTAAACTTGAACTTCGATTATGTCAAATAGAATTTCCGATGCTGGAACTTCCAAAGGATCTACAAAACGAAAGTATGTTTCAATGTCCAACAAACAAAAAGTGAAATTGCTGAAAAAAATGGATAAAGACATAAAGAATGTGACAGAGAGGTTAGTGAAAACGAAAAAATTTTGATTGACCAGTTAGTCGGTATTCTCGGCACAGCAATTAACGGGACTTGAACAGCGGAACTTTTTAACTGAACAAGAAATTATGTCTGTTTATAGAATTAAAGAGAAAGTATTAGTATCACATAAAATGAAGCAACTTAAACAACTTACATTGAAAGAAATGTTAAATAAAGTAAACAAATAAATATTAAGCTTTTTTTTTTTTTGTAAATTTTGATACCCTTTAGATCATAATTGTTCTTTATTTCATAAATTACGGTTTCATATTTTTAATTTTAGAATTTCTGCATGCCATCTTACGAGATTTAAACTGATGATCTATAATCCGGAATTGCCGAAGTCCCGACGAGTCCGGATTAACGACTTTGTCAAAATGGTGGAAGTGCGTCTAACATTATTATTAACATATACTGTAAAACATAAATTATGATGTTTTGTTTTGAGGACCAGTTTAATATTGTGTATTATTAATTTTTAATGCCCTGACAAGATTAATCTGCATTAGGTGAGTGTTATTAATTGAGAAAAATATTAAATATAAATCCCTTATTTATCAAGACAATGTATAGGTGTTTTATAGAGTAGAGGCTAGATTTGGTCAGAAGTAAAATCAGCTAAGTTAAAAATCATCTCAAAAACAACTGAAATTTTTAAATTGTGCTTAAATACTCAATATTGTTGATAAAATTTTGGCTGGATATGAACGAAATGTGCATGGAAATGGAAATTTAGGATGATAATGAAATTAGGCAATAAATGATAAATTTATTATGGTTTTGAAAGGGCAGTCATAAAAGCTGTATTATAATGTAAAATGAACATAGTTAGCTCTCATGAAACTGAAATTAGTGTTACAAATTTGGTATTTAAAAAGCTAATGTTAGTTCAATTATAAATTAAATGGTTTTATTTCTCGCGCACTGCAGCGCGTGACGAATATTAAAAGAAAGCTAAGTCGGAAAATTGAAAATACAAGAGCACGTGCATTAAATAAATAAATATCTCTTTTTGATTTCGAGAAAGTACTGGAAAATTCTAGTGCATGATTTTAAAATCTTATAAAAGGAGGAAAACATCTCAGTTTGTGTAGTTGCTTAGTTTGTTGTTGTTTAGAAAACTGCTCTTGTTGATTGTAGCGAATTCGTGGAGTTGCTTTTAGCTGTTTTGAATTACATTCTATTGGACATTTGAGTAGTTAAAAGATAACTACTGTGAGATATTGTAATACTGCATGATAATTTGAGAAAATTTAAAGCATTTTTGTTGTGATAATAATAAATTTTTTGTTCATTTTTCATCGGACTTGTGCATTCATTTCGTAACGAACCCGTACGCACGCAACAATTTTTTGGTGTCAGAAGTGGGATTTGAATGCCAATCACAAGAGCAATGGAAGAGCAGTTAAGACAGCTGATATTAGCCTTTGCTGCATTTAAAGAGGAAATGAAAACGGGCTAGCAAGAAATAAAAGCGGGACAAGAAGAAATGAAAGATGATATGAAATCTGGTCAGGAAAAGATGGAAGCTGGTCAGAAAAAGATGGAAGAATCCGTTAAAAAGGAAATGGAATCTGTTAAAAAGGAAATGGAAGCCGTTCACGAAAAGTTGGAAGCTGGTCAAGTAACTTTTAAAGAAGATATAAAAGCTGTACAAGAAAAGATTGAAGCAGGTCAAGACGAAATGAAAAGAGAAATAACCTGCGTAATAGAAAGTAAATTTGAGGCTATGGAAGACAGAATAGGAGCTGTCGAAAATAAAGTCGGGCAAATTGAAGAAAAGGTTTCTTCTGTCAAAGATGAAATAGAAGATAGAGTGTCGGCTGTGGAGCAACGAGTCGAAGGAAGAGTTTCGGCCGTCCAACAACAAATTGAAGAGAGAGTTTCTGCAGTTGCCAAAGAAATGGAAACTTAAAAAAAAATTCGTAGCGACGGCAGGGAGCAAGAGTGATGATTTTAAATTCTTACCGATGCCTGCTCGTCCATCTCTGAAGCTATTCAAAGCTATCCACATATGACTTGGGAAGACATCCTGGCAAGTGTATAAGACCCAAGTTTTCTATCGTTTGCGGATGCGAATGGATGGGATTCCCAAGCTAAGGCCTGTCATCTCGCCGCTTCTCTGAGAGCAGACGCAGCGGATATCCTGCAGACGCTTCCCGAAAAATCAAAGGCTAGATTTCGAAGCTCTATCCGGCGCATTGGAGCTGCGCTTTCGGCGAGAAATGTTTAAAAGACTACAGCAGGCTTCCAATTAAAATCCCGTCAACAGAAGCTCACCGAAACACTTCAGGAGCTCGCCACGGATGTTGAAAGGCTGTCACATCACGCCTTTTCGGAGTGCCCGACAGAAGCAAGAGAAATCCCGTCCCTGCAATATTTCATCGATGGCATCCGGGACCCTGAAATACAGAAAAGCACTGCTAAGGGCGGATGTTAAAGATTTGAAAAGCGCTTTAGGGTACGCCATGAAATTTGAGGCAGCCCAGCAAGCCACTCTTCGAGACCGCCACCCAGTCAGAGCTGCAGGAGCTAAGGGATCAAGTCACTGTTCGTCTAGACGATATAACCAGACAACTGAACGCCTTAAGAAGAATATCAATGGTGAAAGAAACCGACCTTTAAAAATGCTGGAACTGCGGTGCTGAAGGACACATACGACGAAACTGCAGAACACCCCAGGGCACGGATGTTAAGACCGCTCCTAACAAACAGCAGGGAAACTAATTAGTGGCCATCTCGCGGGGTCGGAGGTTGCCAGATAATGAAAAGCCCCAGTTTAAAGCGCTTCAGATTTCTGCAGTGAGAGGCGGCAGTAATGGACTTTTTCATAATAGGACATATTAATGGAGTTCCCTGCAATATGACGATAGATACAGGAGCCAACGTTACCATCATCCGAAAAGATTTGGCTCAACAATTGGGAAGCAAACTTATCTGGACGCCACCCTGCGTTACCCTACAGACTGTGTCCGGTGAGAAGATCGACATCGATGGAAAAGTAAATGTTAACATCACGTTTGGAAGTGCCGCTTACCATCACACGGCATATGTAGCAGAGATCACTGATTCTTGCATACTCGGATTGGACTTTCTAAGGAAATACAATTTTTCCTTGGACTTTAAAAATAACGAATTGCATTCTACATCTGAGGACATAGCGTTATTTGAAGTTAATGATGAAGAAGTTAAATCTGTCCATAAAATCATAGCACAAGACAATATCACAATACCGGCAAGAACAGAAATTTTACTTCCTGGATCCATAGCCGAAAACAGAAATTTCCGCTACGGCATCATAGAATATCCCAATAACTGTAATAGCCCAAAAGGAGTACTAGTAGCCTCAACACTCGTCGACCTATCCAGAACGGTTATCCCGGTGAGAGTCGCCAATGTAACTGAGAAGGTGAGAATTATTAAGAAAGGGTGAAGTGGTTGCAGCATGTACTCCAGTAACCACCGTTGAAAGAAAGAGTAACATCCAAGAATCCGTGTCTTCAGAAAGCATTACATCAGAGTTACTTCAGAATGCGCAATTAAACGATGAAGAGAAGAATGCTGCCGATCGCGTCATTAAAGATCTTCAAGTTGTTTTCTCCCGCTCGTCTTCTGACGTGGGTCGAACTAGTTTGACACAACATAGAATAGATACCGGCGATCATCCCCCGATCAAGCAACATCCAAGACGTCTACCGTTTGCTAAACAGGAAGAGGTGCGAAACACTGTTAAAAGGATATGGAAGAAGGCGATGTCATCGAGCCTTCAGCAAGTCCATGGGCATCTCCCATCGTCCTCGTCAGAAGGAAAGACGGCTCAACGAGATTTTGCATTGACTATCGCCGGTTGAATGAGGTTACGAAGAAAGACACTTACCCTCTTCCTAGAATTGACGACATTCTAGACACTCTTTCTGGAAGCAAGTGGTTCTCAACACTTGATTTAAAGAGTGGGTATTGGCAGGTAGAAATACAGCCTGAAGACCGAGAAAAGACGGCATTTACTATGGGACAAGGGCTCTGGCAATTCAAGGTGATGCCGTTTGGACTGTGTAATGCGCCGGCAACATTCGAACGTCTTATGGAGACTGTTTTGAAAGGCCTTTCCTACGAAGCCTGCCTGATATACCTGGACGACATCATCATCGTCGGAAAGA